CTCCTGGGAAACCTAAGGAGGGGTTGCTATTGAGGCAGCATAACTACAGAAGTAGATTGCCCAACCTTCCTTCTGAGGAGTGGCTGGTGGGTTTGAACCGCCAGCCTTCTGGTTAGCCGTCAAGTGCCTTAGGCACTACACTACTAATTTATGGCATAAATAGACAATCAAACATAACCCAAGATGCACAAACAGCAGAAGATAAACTAGATGACTTGGACCTTCTAAAAATTAAATTCTTATGTGCATCAAGAGACTTCCCCAAAAGAGTAAAAAGAGAACCTTACAGAATGGGAAAAAATATCTGGCAATGATATATTGGACAAAAGAGTTATCTCGAAAATTTACAGAAAACTCCAACACCTCAACATCAAAAAGACAAACAATCCAATTAAAAAATGGAAAGAAGACATGATCAGATACTTCAGCAAAGAAGATATTCAGGCAGCCAACAAACACATGAAGAATGTTCATGATCTTTAGCTATTAGAGAGATGCAAATCAAAACCACAATGAATACCATTTCACACCCACTGGGATGGCTAAGATAAAAAAAATACTAATAATGAGAAATAACAAGTATTGGAGAGGACGTGGGAAAATATCTATTTCTCATGGGAATGCAAAATGGTACAGCCATTGTGGAAAATAATGTGGTAGTTCTTCAAAAAACTAAAAATAGAACTACCAAATGAGCCAGCAATTCCAGTTCTAGTATATGTCCAAAGCACTTAAAAGCAAAAACTGGTACACCAATGTGCATTATAAAAAGACTGGTAACCAATGTTCATTACAGCATTATTCACAATAGCCAAAAGGTAGCAACAACTTAAACGCCCATGAACGGATGAATGGATAAACAAAACATGGTCCATATATACAATGGAGTACTACAGACAGTAGGAGAAATGAAGTGTCGATACATGCTACAATATGGTAAAGCTTGAAGACACTGTGCCAAATGAAAAAACCAATCACAAAAGGACAAAAATTGTATGACCTCTCATATAAAAAGACAAGAAAAGGCCAGTGTAGAGAGACTAAAGTTTATTAGTAGTTATCAGTGGTGGGAGGGAGGGGGAAAGGGTCGGTTTACAATGATGGAAATATTGCATTGATTAAGGGTAGGGATGCACAGCCAATTACTGTAATTGCTGTCAACCTGTAAAAGGTTGATTTGTTAAAAGTCATGTTATAGATATATTTACAACAATGACACACATAATACATACATACATAAAGAGTAGCTGCTGAGGCTAATAACATGCAACCAAACACCCATGGGATTTGGTTCCTTGGTTTGGAGGTTTAGGGTCATGGTTTTACAGGACATCCCAGTTAAGTGGCCTAATAATGTGTTTCATGCTTCTGTTCTACTGCCTACTTCATTGTGTAGTGTCTGTGATCTTAAAAGCTTTCAAGTGGCCATGCAGGACACAATTGATCTCTATTCACTTGGAGCAACAGACGAAGAAGAAGAGTCAGGAATAGGAGAAGAATATGGAATGTGTGGAAAACTGCCTCCATGAACTACTGCCTTCTTTGCCATGACACCACAGGAAATGAATGGTGCCTGGCTACAATTAGTGAACATTTTGATCAAAAATTCCATAGAAGAATTCTGATCAAAAGTGGGGAAATGTAGAATAGAATTTCAAATTCTCATGGACTCTAGACTTTATGGAGCCATAAAGGGCAGATGAATCACTGAAATTATTGCCCTGAGATAATCTTTAAACTTTAAACTGAAAATATTCCCTGAAGTCATCTTAAAGCCAAACAACAGCTTAGCTTAACTAGTAAAAAACAGTCGACCTTGAGTATGATACTCTTTTAAGAACTATTTATATGGGATCAAATTGATAATAGCAACTCAAAAGATTAGACAGCAACCTTAGGGGGCAGTGAATATATGTTAATGAGGGAGAAACAACTCATAAAAGTAAAGTGAAAATGGTTGCACAACTCAAAGAACATAATCTATGTCACTAAATTGTACATACAGAAACTGTCAGATTGGTATATGTTTTCCTATATATATTCTCAACACTATAAATAAAATTTAGGAGCTCTGGTAGCATAGTGCCCAAGGCACTTGACTACTAACCAGAGGGCTGGCGGTTCAAACCCACCAGCCAGTCCTCGGAAGGAAGGTTGGGCAATTTACTTCTGTAGTGATACCACCTCGGAAACCCAAGGAGGGGTCATTATGAGTCGGGTCCAACTCGAGGGCACATAACAACAACAACATAAATAAATAAAATTTAGAAAAAAATTATTTTGCTTCTATTATCAACTATTCAACTAATTAGATGATACTCCTCCAGGCTGCAAATGACAAAAGATTGTGGATATTCTTACTGCTTACTTTCCATAATCCTCTCTACATTAACTGATTTCGACAACTTCAGCAATTTTTAACAACTCAGAAGATATGATGAGATAAGGAGAAGAAAGTAATTATCTACTTTTGATTTCTCATAAGATATTCTGATAACAAGTTGATCAGAAGAATAAATGTGAAAATTTAAACAAAAGTAGTTGTTTCTTTTATTATGTTACTTCATTCATTTAACTGAAATTACATCTGACTGTGCTTAAAGAATCTAATACAACATCTTTTAACTTTGAAAAAAAGATATTCTTTCCTCATCAAACACTTAAAATTAATTTTTCAAAAAATGAAAACACAACTTACAAAAGCAGCATGCTTTCCTCGAAATCCTTTTGCACATTGTTGTCTCCATGGCTTCCAAATAACAAAGCCCAAGAGGTACAGAACAAACATAGATGTTTTTGCAAAGGTGCTGAAGAATGGTTTGTTGTATTGCGTAAAAACATACTGTAGACAAAAAAGTTATATAGACAACAATGAGATGACCTTAAATCTTATTGCTCATTTCCAAAAAAAATAAAGCCATTACATGATTTTTAAAAACTCTTTTAGAAGTTCATTTGGAAGAAGAGTATCAAAAGAGCTTATTAAAAAAAAATTAGATTCACTTTTGAATACTGTATTTGTCTTGAATGTAAAGGATAAGTTCCCCAAAGCAAATAGCAATGACCTGCTGAAAAACTTTTGTTCAGCATTCACCAAAAACCTACTATGCAATGGGACCAATGTTGGGAGCTAAAGAACAAGATAAGCTTTCCCGTCCTTGAGGAGTTTATAATCTAGTAGAAGAGATATATATGAAGAAAATACAATGCAATGTGCTAAGGAGGAATATAATATAAAAAAGGGATATAGGTGTCATGAGGCCATCAAAGGTTGATGGATCAACTTGAAGATTATGGAAAAGTCTGCCAAAACAGGCAATTCTTGAACTGTGTCTGAATAAGAATTATTCGAAACAAACAAAAAAAAAATCATTGCCATTGAGTCATTCTACTCATAGTGATCCTACAGGACAGAGTAGAACCACCTCATAGGATTTCCAAGGCTGTAAATCTTTGTGGAAACAGACTGCCACATTTTTCTCCTGTGGAACATGCTGATGGATTTGATCTGCTGACCTTCCAGTTAGCAGCTGAGCTCTTTAACCACTGTGCAACCAGGACTCCTAGAATTAGCCCAAGCAGAGGAAATATAATTTTAAAAAAAGGAACCATATCACAAAAAAGAATATTGTGTGAAGAAAACTGTATGTAGTATAAAGTTATCAGGAAGATATAAATGTTAATTGGAAATACCATTACAAATTCATTTTTTGCTCTCCTTTAAAAAAAAGTTCCTACTTATGTGCACTGAAAAGACCTAAAATAAATGACAACACAATAGAAACAAGTACCTGTAGGACCTAGATTGAGTTCCTAGATGGTGCAAATAATCAAGAACTCAGTCGCTTAATAAAAGATTGGAGATTTGAGTGCCTTGGCAGAAAGGCCTGCAATCCACTTCTGAAAAATCAGTCATTGAAAACCCTATGGAAAACAGTTCCACCCTGATACACACAGGGTCACCATGTTGTTGTTGTTGTTGTTGTGTGCCATCAAGTTGGACCCGACTCATAGCAACCCCTCCTTGGGTTTCCGAGGCAGTATCACTACGGAAGTAGATTGCCCCATCTTCCTTCCGGGATCACCATGAGTTGAAATTCACTTGCTGGTAACTGGTCTGGTCTTTTTACAGGGATCATTAATTAAACAGAATGAAATAATCATATAAGTAAAAGAAAAACCAGCTGGTGAACTCTAAATACCCCATCACTATCAATATGTCATAAACAAAGACAAAATTTAACTAAAAGGCAATCATTGTATAATGGGCACTTTACAGTGATGTTTGAGTCTGTAAACATAAATGTGCAGCCATCCATCTGCATAAGAGTGACCTTTACATGAAAGCTCAGATCACTTTACTCATTTTCATTGTCCAAAATAGTCTTACTTTCAACTAAAGGGAGACAAACTATTTTGTATCTTGGATGGTTATTACACTAGAAAATAACATTTACAGAGAAAAAGACTGAATTTTAAAAGGACTAATAGAAACATCATCAAATATTAAAAAATATATATACATATATAATCTCTATATCTCATTACTCTTCCTAAAAGACGCACGGACTTCTGGTAGCATAGTGCCTAAAGCACTTGACTGCTAACCAGAAGGCTGGCGGTTCAAACCCACCAGCCACTCCTTGGAAGGAAGGTTGGGCAATTTACTTCCATAGTGCTACTGCCTCGGAAACCCAAGGAGGGGTCCCTATGAATCAGGGCTGACTCAACAGCACTTAACAACAACAACAAAAGATGCAAAAAAACTGTGTGAAACAAGAGAAGACCATCTCTTCGGTTTCAACTTGAATTGGCACCAATTAAATATCAAAGAAAACATAAATAGTCAACCACATTCAAATACTGCTTTTCATAAGTATGAAACAGATTAATGGCTAGAGATCCTATATAGTAAGATTATTACATAAAATAACATCATTTCTAGAAAAGAATTACATACCGAAGTAAGTTCAGAGGAAGCCACCCATATCACATCAACAAGGAGGAGGATAACAATCCCAAGAGCCATTCGCCTGCGCTGAGTGAAACCACTGCTCTGGGAATTCATTCGGTTCATGATAAATACACACACCATTTGAATTCTGGTTTTCAGAAAATACAGATCACAGTAAAGATCACTTTGGCAAAATTATCTTATGAAAATGAGAAAATTAGTGTAACAGAAACAAATAGTATTTATTATAAAAGCACATAGTAAATAAACGGTGTTATGGAACTTACTTGATTTTAAGGGTTTTTCTGAGGTCTTCAAAAGTAATGTCTGAAAACTTGGCAGATGTGAATCTGAAAGGAGGTGAAGAATTCAGTACCCCTAAAAATAACAAAATGGTGTTTATGAAAACATCAAAGTTCAAAATTAGATATATCATTTTATTTAACTCTTCACCTTCAAGATGAAAGCAAATGAGAAAGAAAAAAAAAACACTAAAATGTATGAAACATAATTGGACACTTATCTCTATATTGTCAGCCTATTTATTCATTGCATACTTCAGATTATGGTCTGAAGAGTACTCTGCACCGAAAAAAAAAAAGCAATAGGGAACATAAAGTATATTTAAGAACAGTTTACTGCTAGAAAATAGCTTCTTAGAATTTCATAAATACAAAACATCATTTGCCTCTCCCTCCAAAGGAATCCACCCCAGGGACAATGTCTAGACAGGAGCCTGTTTCTAAAAGTGCCTTTTCTGTCCCTGATCTCCTTGGATGGAATTTAGTTATCTGAGAGGAAGCGACTTGTTTTGGGACTTGGGGCCCCTTTCCAATCTCTCACGTGGTAAAGGAAAAAAGATCCTTCACGCTCCCTTACCCACCCCTGTCACTATATCTAGTTCTTTTTGATCAAAACAGTTAACTCAGGAAGGGTGGAAAGGAGGGAACAGCTGTTAAAGGGACTCCTCCTCTTTATGGGGGCGGAACCAAGAAAAAAAGAAAAAAAAAAAAAAAAGAAACCAGAAAAAAAGAGACGATTACGCCTCAGAAGGGTAAAAAGTTTTTTTTTTTTTTTTTAAAAAAGTGATGTCTTCCCAGACAGGGTCGGCAACCCACAGAGAAGCGATAGTGCCACTCGTTGTTGTTGTTGTTATTTGCCGTCGAGTAGGCCCCGACTCATAGCGACCTCTCCTTAGGTTTCCAAGGCAGTATCACTACGGAAGTAGATTGCCCAACCTTCCTTCCGAGGAGTGGCTGGTGGGTTTGAACCGCCAGCCTTCTGGTTAGCAGTCAAGTGCCTTAGGCACTATGCTACCAGAGCTCCTGTGCCACTCATTAGCAGTTTCCTTAATGCCGGTGTCTGGACCGGTTTAGTGCACTTCTGTCAGCCACCCCCTCACTCCGCCCCTAGAGAATGTCTTCATTTCGGTCAGGGCACTTCGGCTGGCACCAGGAGCTGGAGGCAGGACTGTTCGCGGACACTTGGCCCCGGTTTTGGCTCAAGGTGATTTTGGGCTCTCCGTGCCTGCCTACCTGGCCTTCCTGCCCCGCGATGGCGTCGTGGCGGCACCATGAGCAGACACGGCCCGGCCCCGCCGCCGCCCAGCGCCGCGGCCGAGGCCTCACAGACCTGTCGCTGCACCCGGCATTGCGCTGCGCTGGAAGCCAATCCCCTGAAGCCGAGGTGTCCCTCGGAGCTAGGTCGCTGACGCCACCCGGCTCCACTCGGCCCGGGAAGGCGGGGAGCGGGCGAGGGAAAAAGACCGCACAGACAGATATGGCCGCAGAACCCCGGAGCTCAGTCCTGACACCAGCCCCGCCTCCGGCCAACCGGGCCCACTACCCCGCCTCAAGTTCTGACAGCTGAGGCGCGCCGATGACGTCACGGATGCGCGACAGCGGGCTGCGCGGGGATGCGTTTCCAGGGCAACGTGGTGGTTCCGAGCAAAAGCGAAACTGCGCTGCATCGGAAGAGTGCGATGTAGGAGGAAAGACTGCAGCAGGAGATTGGGGAACAAGAGGGAAAAGGGAGTGGGTGTCTGGAGCTGAAGCAAGGATAAAGGAGGCATCCAAGCCTCCAGATGTCCCTGCCCTAAAACGAAAGTTAGCAATTCCGTTTCTTACATAGTTTAGGCACCCAAACTTTCCATGTCCGTTTCACCAGAAAACGGAAAAGCAAAGTAGCTTGGAAGTCTTTTTGCTTAAACTAAATATTAGTTCTGCAAGTTATAAGCTCTGAGTAAAGGCAAGCTACTACTGCTTGACTCAGTTTTCTCATTTGAGAAATAAGAAGGATAGAGTCTGCTTCATCTGGTATTTTGTGTATATGCCAAGATTACATGAGTTTACAAATGTGAAGCGTCTAGATTAATTGATGGCAAGTAATAAAAACTCCATAAACCCTAGTAATTATTAAGTTGCATAGATTTTTCTCAAGTATCTTTTTGGATATCGTCGTAATAGAAAATTCCAATACCATGTTAGGAATAGATCAAAGAGCTTTATTGAAGAATAGATACAGCTCCAACCAAATCCACAAAGTAGACACAGAGTGGACCCCCCACCTCCCAAAAAACAAAACACTGACTAAGAGTTGATTCCGACTCGTAGCGACCCCCATAAGGTTTCCAAGGCTATAAATCTTTGATAAGCAGCCTGCCTCTTTCTCCCACAGAGCGGCTGGGGGCTTCAAACTACAGAGCTTTTGGTTACCAATCCAGTGCCTTGACCACAGCACCACCAGCGCTCCTACAAAGTGGACAGAGCCCACAAAGTGAAACTAAGTGTTCCGACATTTCTGAGGGATAAAACCAAAAAAAAAAAAAAAACAAACGCACTGCCGTGGAGTCAGATACGACTCATAGAGAACCTTCCTTGGGTTTCCTAGGCAATACCACTATGGAAGTAGATTGCCCAACCTTCCTTCCAAGGAGTGGCTGGTGGGTTTGAACCACCAGCCTTCTGGTTAGCAGTCAAATGCCTTAGGCACGAGGCCACCAGAGCTCCCTCTGGGGGAAGGGAGTATGTGACCACACTCACAGGGACCAGGGATTATCTATGTTGTTGTTGTTATTTGCCGTCGAGTGGGCCCCGACTCATAGCGACCCCTCCTTGGGTTTCCGAGGCAGTATCACTACGGAAGTAGGATTGCCCAACCTTCCTT